ATATCTTTTAACCTCAATAGCATCTTCAGATATTTCATCTACGTATGTAAAGTCATTTCCTGCATAACTTTTCCTATTTTGAGCATTTGTTCTATTATTTACCCATCTCAAATTTTCAACTCTGTTGTCGGTTTTTATCTGGTTTTGATGGTCTATCTGAGGCAAGTTATCTGGGTTTGGAATCCATTGTTCTGCTATTAGTCTATGCTTTGCTTTTTCAGAACCATTGAGAGATAACTTGACATAACCTTTCTTTGTTATATGTTCACTCACAATTTTTCCTGTAGATTTTTTCCTAATATTGTGTGGATATTCTGTATTAATTTCATAGTCATTGTCTGCAACAAGTGTTTCCCAAACGTCTTCACCTTCCATGCCTTTCACTCAAATAAAAATTTTCAGAAAAATAAAACTAGCTCAGATTTTATAATATTGCTATGGTAGAGTTTAAGAGTTGAGCTTCAATGTATAAACAATCTTTTCTATCTGGAGGCAAGAACACTGGTGCTTTATGGTCATGAGTTGAGTACATGTCTATCCAAAACTCACGATTGAAACCAGTTAGTTTGTAATATTTAGGATTTGGTAATGGTGAATTTTTGTATGACCAATGAACTCATTTTCAACTCCTTTACTTAGGTTTGAATATAATATTGCTTGTTTTCTATCTCCAAATACCTGGAAATCTAATTTCGGAAAAATCATTTTTCCTCGGAAGCATTGCATCATAATTGAAAACATTTTTGAAATCATCACTTGGTTCAGAGATTTGAAATCTTATACGTAATGGATTTTCTTTCTTTTTAGCTACTTCATTGAATGGTGAATATATAACAAACTGACAGTCATGAGTTCCATCTTCATTTTCATTAAATTCATAATGAAAGTCTATAAGTTGTGGCTGACTACCTTCTTCTTTCAGTTGTGCAAGAAACTCACGTAAAGGCTGTAAAGTTTGTACTTCAATGTTAAACTTTTTCTCGAACATTTCATTAAATGAAATCATACATTGTTGCAATGTTGTATCGTCTTTAAAGTATTTGTATATGTGAATGTTTTGGGCGCTTAAAGACTGTTCGTCATTTTCTATCTCGACTTGAAGTATAAAGTCAACCTTTCTGAAAGCACGTGTTATATACATATTTGTTATGCCAATGTACTTCTCTTCATTTATGTTCACAATCCAGTCTGTTGGAAACTTAAACGTTACTCTGTTCCCCTTTATTTTGACGTCAGGGTTTTCACTACTGAATGCAACAGATAAAGGTATTTGTCTATACATTTAGTTCCGATAAAAATAAACCATTTACTCTTTCTTTGCTTCAGCTTCTTCTCTAGCTTTCTTCGCCAGCAAACGTGGGTTCTTCTGTCTTCCAGCAGCTAATGCAGCAAGTTGTTTTTCACTAAGTTTTCTCTTTGGTCTCTCTGGCTTTTGTTCTTGTTTTTGTTCCTTCAGTTCGGATAAAATTTGCTCGCGAATTTCTTTCTTCAATGCTTCAACATCTATTGTCTGAGTCATTTGACTGCAGATAAAAAACTAAATTAAACTTTAACCAATGTAAAATGAGCTTGTCAAAATCAGAGCGAGAGTCTATTATATTAAATGACGCCGAGGAATACAACATCCTTTCTATTATGTAAGTCAGAGTAAAGATGGTAAAATATATGTAAGAAAAGAAAGGTTCCATTAGCGAATACAGAGAGCGACAACATTAAGGTGCATGGCACCGAGGGCGAAGCCCATATAAAATTCTGTTCAAACTGAAAAGTCAATAGAACAGAAGAAAAGAAGCCAGATGTACTTTCAATAACGAACCAAGAGCTTATTGCAAAGTTCGTGAATTTCATTGAAAAGCAAACCGAGTCAAAGAACCCTGACCCACCAGTGAAAGAAGTTGAGACAAAAGAGAATGTACAGTTCATTGAAAATGTCAAGAAACAACTTCCACCACGAATGCCAAGAAGAAGAGTGAGAATAATGAAGTAAAGAGATATTTTTATCCGAATCAAAGACATGCAGAACGAACAGTTAAACGAATTTACTCCAGCAGAGCATATTCATCAGATTCGCTCATATTTCGATATCATAGACAATGCAGTTCAAATTGGTGACACTAATAGAAAATATTCTGACGCAAAGATTCCATCACAACCTGGAACTGCTAAAGATAACACATGGGTAACATTCAATCTCTCACCTCCTGGTGAAAATATGTTGGACCTTTACAATACATTCATTACGTATAAAATGGAAGGTCAATTTATTGTAGATAAAGAAATTGGTTCAGGTTCCAATAAAACAAACCCACCAGGATTTTGGATTGGTTTCGATGACGCTTTCTATGCAGTTGCTGGATATCAAATCCTTGCAAATGGTCGTATCGTATATTCTCAAGACAACGCAAGAGAAGAAGCATATATAACTTCAAACTCACAAACTACCGAACAAATAAAGAAAGTAGATGTTTTCTCAAAGACTCGACATGAAGATGTATGGAGTCATTCGGGAACATGCAGAACAGGACAAATTGTTAGTGGTCCAATTACAGCAGGAAAATCATTTGATTTTAAGCTTCGTTTAAGAATTCCTGTTAGAAGATTCCTTCCATTAGAAGCTATTCGATTTATTCCAGCTTTTGCAGGAAACATTCAGCTTAAAGTAAAGTTCAGTAGCGACGCCTTACAATGCACATCTATATCTCTGTAAATGATATCATTGCTTTCAATCCAACTCTTAAAGTTGCATTTGCTTCAGATTCAAATCCACCGACAAATAAATTTGTTCCATGGAATGAACCATTCACTATGATAACGAAGTCAGTAGAAGCTAGTGGAACAGTTACTATTACAACTGTAACCAGCAACTATTTCGAACAAAGATGGATTTTAATGAATGTTTTATTCATCCAAAGTCATTCTCTTTAGACCCTAACATTTATACAGAACTTGTAGAACATTATACAAACGAGGCTTTATGTTTTCCTGTTAAAGTTATGGATTGGATTCCTATGGACGGTTCATTCTCAAAGAATACAGATAGTTCAAGTGCAACATTTACAGCAGCTTATACGCCTATTAATGTTAAAAGTATTTGGGCACTATTTAGAAAGAAAGACAACTATTATGTTAATTTTGAGAACCCTAAGTTTAAATATCTTCAGCTTTCCATGGGAGCTTATGGAAATATGCCTGCAGAACCTGAAAAATCATATGGACCTGTATTTTATGAAATGGTTGCGAACGCTTGCAATACAAACAATGATATGATAGGATTTAATGAAGATGTTATGAGGTCATTGGTGGATGATGGTAGTGTGGAACATAAATGGGATAGCTATGACAACACACATTTCTTATGTGGTTTTCCAACAGAAGTGGACTTTTGCTTCAGCAAGGTCAAACTCACAGCTCCAATAACATACAAATTGTCTGTTAAAGGACCTATTGAACTAGCAACTGAAAATGTACCAAAGCCACTTATTGGATTTATGAGGGATTGTTGCTTTGCCATTCAGGTGCGTGCTAATGGAATCCCAATAATAAGATTAGATGACTATAACTTAGCGCGGACGACAGTGAGGAATAAAGGATGAACGTTTATTTTTAAAGCTTATAAATGTGTTCTTCATCAAGCTCTCGTGAACCTTCACCATCTGTGAAACAAACTTTACCAAACAATTATGGAGCACCTATTGAATATTTCTTACGAGCTGCACAATGGCAAAGAGCAGTCTCACCAAGGTTAGGTGTTCCACCAGCTCCTGTCAAAAATAGCATTTGGTCAAGTCCTTATATAAGATATGGTCTCCCACTAGGTTTGCTAGCTACAGCAGGAGCGTTATGATGTTGAAAAGAAATAAAGCAAATGTTGTAAATAATACTGAAGTAGCTGAAGTTAAACAAACTCCAACACATTCGCCAAAACCAACGCCTTCACAAGCAACGCTTCAATGACTCCTGAACCTATGGAAGTACAAACTCCTGTTCAAAAGTCAACTCCTAAACCGACTCCAACATTTAAACCAGAACCTACTCCTCAAATAAATCGTAAAACTCCTGCGTTTCCTTACTGAAAAAATAACGTTATTTTTATTTAATATTAAAATTTTTATTTGATTGAAATGACAAATAAAGTCACTGAAGCAATGAAACAAAAGTTTTTGGTAGAATACATTAAATCAGGAACTATTCCAGAAGGTTTTTACATTCATACTATGAAGGATGGTAGAGTTCAGTTTAGAAAGATAAAGCAACCATTAGATAAAGAAGGAATTTTGAGAAAGATTAAACTTCATGAAGACAACATTGCTGAACTTAAGAAGAAGCTAGAAGAGTTGGAGAAAGGAAGAGAGTTATAAAGCAATGAATTCAACAGGGTAGAAATGAGGTTAGAAATCGGGTTAGATATACCCTTCTACCCTAAATTTATTTTTGTGCTATGTTTTCATACGTGTGAGGGTGGTGATATCATTTATTTTTAAAGTTTATTTTTTATTTTATTTTTATATAAATGACGAAAACTATTGAGATAACAAACTACAACGGTCATGAGTTCAAGAATTTGTTCTTCGTTCCTCGTGAAAATACATTCTATCAGATACGAGGGAGAAAGGGTAAAGTTAGTTTGAGCGTTTATGACAACAAACATAATGGGAGATATATAAAAGCAATAGATACAAACGGTAAGCGGGTTTCATTAGCTTTGTCAAAACTTACTAACATTTATTTTGACAGTGACTTTGACTCTGACGATTGGAGCGACAGCAGCGATACTGAAGAATATGAACTATTGTGTGAAGCACAGCAATGGGAAGCGCTGCAATACTTTTGTAAATGAGAACATTAGTGGGAACGTTAGTGAGAACGTTTATTTTTTCATTAGTGAAGTCGTTAGCGAAAACGTTAGTGAGGTGAAGTGGTTGGCAGCTTTGTAAATATTTAAGGCTAAGTTGGTGTTTGTGTTTGTGTTGTAAAATATACGTTAACAGTTTTGTAAAGTGTCAAACCGTTATCTTGGGTGGGGTGGAGCGTAGTGCCACCATACCCAAGATAGGTATACTAACTACTAAACCTGATATGATCAGAGGAAGTGATGTGCGCTCACCTCGAAAACCATTTTTCATGCAGGACCAGCATGACTTGAAACGTGCAAAGAAACGCTCGACAATCTGCCTGTCTTGGGCAATGGCGTTGTTGCGTTCAACGTCTGCTTCTTCGTGGCTTCTCTTCATCACCACGGCAGTAAGGTGATATTTCTGGATTTCAATATAGCCCCGGTCGGCAAGTACAGGATATTGGTAATCATCAAATCCTCGCTTTACTGTCAAAAAATCCGAGACTTTTGACAAATCGAAAATCTTCTTGTCATGGACTGCAGCCATAAACTCAACGTTTTGATGTATGGCTTTTCCATCTGGTGACACGAGGACTTGGAGCTTAATACCGTTGCAGTGGTTTTTTTCATCCCAACTATAAAGCCTCTCTTCCTTTACCGAAGGAATGTTGAAAGGAATTGTAGTGCTGTCTACAGCTGCAACAGCATCAGGGAAGTTTGTAAATTTGTTCTTCATTGAAGTTAACGGTGGACAGTGATTGGGAAGAAAATAGCTCGCAAAGATTGGAAATGCAACATTGGTAGTTCTTGTAACTAATTTGGAATAGCATGACTGGGAAATATGTAGCAACGGACATAATGCTGAATAGGGCAAGTATGTGCAGTAATATGTGAGCGTGAGGAAGAGAGACTCGATTGTTGAAAATTTGACCTTCCTTCCTCTTCTGGCCCTTCCACAGTTGGATTCAATAATGTCAGCGAGGTATTCCAACTGTTCATATGTGAAGTTGCACAATGATCGGAGCTGGAGCTTTGGATGCATCCTGATGAATATTGAAATCGAGAACCTGGGCATTGGATTGGTCAATGTCATCTCTTTTGCCTCTTCTTCATTTAATGGCTCTTCATCTGTGTCGGAATTCTCAGGTGTAACAGTAACAACAATGTTCGCCCTTCTGGATTCTTTTATCTTGGTGATGATATCTTCATCGCATGGTTCATCCATGTTGATAAATGAAGTGATTAAAAGATATAAAAATCTTATCAAATTTGAAATAGAGTTCAAAATTAATAAATAATGAAACCCAATCAATTTAATCATATCTAGATATCCTAATATATATCATTTTAAACTTGAAATTAAGAAACTGTGAAGAATTAAAAAACGTTTAAAATCTTTCATACAATTTAATCATATCTATATATTCTAGTATATATCATTTTAAACTCGAAATTAAGAAACTGTGAAGAATTAAAAAAAAACGTTTAAAATCTTTTAATAGAAATAGTTTATTTAAAAAATAAAAGTTTAACTGGTGCATAAGTAAAAATTAGATTCTCGAACTTATTATTATTTTTGATTGAAATATTAAAATAGTATTCCAATCAAAAATAATAATAAGTTCGAGAATCGTAATTTTAGAACTTTTTTACATTCTTCACGCCTGTAAAAATATTCCATAATTACAGATTTTATTAATTACTACTTTTTTAGATACATTCTAAAGCTGGCGAAGCAACGCTAAAGTGATGATTAACAGTGAATCACTGCGACGACCCAACATAATATATTGAGATTAATTTTCTAGGCACGGTTGAAATGGCGGAGACCTTCTGGCTGTGCCTCAGAGCCCCTAAAATATTTCAAAAGAAATATTTCTACCATTTCGTCGAAAGATTAATCTCTGACTATGTCCGAGATAGCATCACTCAGGCGAAAGTATTACGCCGAGAATACCGATAGAAGTTTCTATCTAGTATAAGCGCCAGTATTTAGAAGAAAACATCTAAAAAAATGAACTATTTGTTCCATTCAATTATCAATTTTTTTTGTGAAAAAAGAAATTTTGAAATTATACTTATAATATTGTTAGCATATATAAAATAAACATTTTGGGAAAAATTATAAAATTTTCCAAAATTTACCATCGAAAATTTTCCCAAAAATTTTCAAAATTTTCCCAAATATCCATCAACATTTTTCCCAAAAAATTTCACAGGAAAGTTTACCAAAGCGGAACCCAACTAATATGTTCAATTCATGAAAATTTTATTTTAATTTACTAGGTTTATATAAACTTTTGAACCTTTTATAATGTATATAACAACTCAAATCAATTGCAATTCATTAATTTATTTGTTTGAGACAAATCATTAATTTATTGATTTTTTTGAAACAAAAAAAAGGACATAGGAACTATTCAATTTGTTTGTAATCCTTTTTTATCCACACTTGCTGAAAAAATAAAAAAAATTAATTGTTATATAAAATATCTTTGTATATCATACCGAAATGCATCACTAGCAAAAGTGACATTTGGCGCCAATTTTAAATTAGTGGATTTTGTGTTTATTACTTAAAAAATATAATTGATAAAATATAATTAACATTAATAGAATAATATGGATAAGATTTGATAAAAAACAATCATAAATTTTTTTGGGTGCCATATAGAGAACTATAGTCTGCGAGGTACTGATTCTATCCATGTACCTCGCAGACCATAGTTCTCAGCCAAAATGGCTGAAAATTGCTCACAATTGTTGAAATTGTGAGCAATTTTTAGCCGTTTTGGCTAAGAATTGGAAGGTGTGAGTACTATAGCATGTAATAGTATCTCACACCCTCCAATTCTTCCTATGGCGCCGAAAAATTTTTGGTGAAATGTCGTCGCATTTCACCAAAAATTTTCGGCGCCATATAGAGAACTATAGTCTGCGAGGTACTGATTCTATCTATGTACCTCGCAGACCATAGTTCTCAGCCAAAATGCCTCTAAAATTTGTATACCTATAAACTCAAACTTCAATATATTCAATTTTATTTTTATAATTAATTTAAATATATCCATATAATTCTAATGTTTTCTTTTAATTTAAATAATAATAATAATAATTAAAAATAAAAATAAACTTTTCTATAATATTTATAAAGCTGATTTGATATATAACACATTTAGCTTAACAAAATAACTTAGAAAAATTGCCGCGCAAAATAAGAGTAAGTATCACTTTTTTGTCACTTTTTCTAGTGATGCATTTCGGTACGGAACAATATAAAATATCTTTGTATTTTGATTACATATTCTATATGTGGTATTCCGCAAATCATATTTCATATTCCATATGTGGTATTACATATTCCAATAAAAGGCACTTAATGTGCATTTTCTAATTCAATTAGATTTGCACATTAAGTGCCTTATTATTATAATAACTTTAATATGGAATAAGTCAAGTTTATTCCAATATACGAGCTTATGCTCATATGTCGGGTTAAAATCTGGCGTTTGGCAATGTCGCAAAACGCCGATATGCTAATTCCTAAAAAATTTTTTTTATGAAAAAATTCTTTATTCGCAAAAGGTATAGTATTTGCTCATGTACGAACATATGCGAGAAATTCCCAATTTGTTGAATATACCACAGACTATCTTATCTTATTTTTCATAAAAATGACCGAATTTCACATTTTTGTAAACGGTTTCATATTCTGAGTGGGAAACACCATCTACAATAGATTTCAGACATGAAACAAAAATTTCTCTTTAAGTGCGATTAAAACAGACATTTCATAACCTTTAATTTCGAAATCTTCAACAACAACAGTAGTTTCGTTTCTTTTTTATGCTTCCCCTCAACAACTTTAACACTACATTGAAATTGATTTACTAAAAAGATCTATAATCGTATACAAATATCAAAAAATTGCAATCTTTTCTTGCCTTACGCTCAACAAACTTAGATGTTAGACAAATTCTTTTCATCTACACCTTAAACGTTTATTAATTCTGTTAATTACTGATATTAGTCTGATTTTTTTAAATCGCATATTAATTAGCTAAATAACAATCTTCGTCCATTCGATACTGAAGTACAATATTTATTGCCATTAAATTATTCTACAAGCGTTATCAATTTCTTGATATTAGTTTATTCAAAAAAATTATTTTTTTTTCAAAAGAGGTGAATAACCACACTTTTTACATTACATTTCTACAATAAATGAGAAAACCGATATCTCTGCACAGTTTTCAATACTTGAATTTGAAATTCAATTTAAACGTGGAGTTTATAATGAAATATGTATACCTTAACAGATCAATTCAGAAAATTGAGTATGCGATCTGAAAAGACTGCATAATTAATATTTTTTATTACTTATTTTTGATAAACCATATTTTAAATAAACCTATACTATATTTCTGCATTCAAGGGAAGCCAAATACGGAAAAGTAAATGAAAAATTAATTTTTATTTCTCATGAAATTCATTTTTGAAATTAAAAGAAAAATTAAGAAAAGCGCATTATGAGATGAGAGGCTCGGCTGTTTCTTTACTATTATTTTTTCCCATTTTAATCTTTTTCATTGATATTTGCGCCATGTGAGATAAGAAGTTCGACCATATTTTTGTTGTTATATTTTGTTGCATAATAAAGAGCAGTATTTCCAAAATTATCTTTTTCATTGATATTTGCACCATGTGAGATTAGAAGTTCGGCCATTTCTTTACTATTATTTTCTGCTGCATGATGAAGAGCAGATTTTCCATTATTGTTGTTTTCATTGATATTTGCACCATTTGAAATGAGAACTTTGGCTGTTTTTTTACTATTTTTTGACGCTGAAATATGAAGAGCAGTATTTCCAAAATTATCTTTTTCATTTATATTTGCACCATGTGAGATAAGTAGTTCGGCTATTTCTTTATTATTATGCTCTGCCGCAATATAAAGAGTGGACTTTCCATATTTTGTTTTTTCATTGATATTAGCGCCATGTGAGATAAGAAGTTCGACCATATTTTTGTTGTTATGTTTTGTTGCATAATAAAGAGCAGTATTTCCAAAATTATCTTTTTCATTGATATTTGCACCATGTGAGATAAGAAGTTCAACGATTTCTTTATTATCATTTTCTGATGCGATATGAAGAGCGGACTTTCCATGTTTAAATTTTTCATTGATATTTGCGCCATGTGAGATAAAAAGTTCGACAATTTCTTTATTATTTTGTTTAAATGCATAATAAAGATCAGTGTTGCCAAAATTATCTTTTTCATTGATATTTGCACCATTTGAAATGAGAATTTCAACGATTTCTTTATTATTTTGTTTTATTGCAATATGAAGAACAGATTTTCCATTATAGTAGTTTTCATTGATATTTGCACCATTTGAAATGAGAAGTTTGACAATTTCTTTACTTTTTTGCTTTGCTGCATAATACAGAGCGGTATTGCCAAAATTATCTTTTTCATTGATATTCGCACCATTTGAAATGAGAATTTCAACGATTTCTTTATTATTATGTTCTGATGCATGATGAAGAGCAGATTTTCCATTATTGTAGTTTTCATTGATATTTGCACCATTTGAAATGAGAAGTTTGACAATTTCTTTACTTTTTCGTTTTACTGCATAATAAAAAGCAGTATTGCCAAAATTATCTTTTTCATTGATATTTGCACCATGTGAAATGAGAACTTCGGCTGTTTCTTTACTATTATATTTTGCTGCAGAAAAAAGAGCTGTTCTCCCTCTTTCATCTTTTTCATTGATATTTGCACCATGTGAAATGAGAACTTCGGCTGTTTCTTTACTATTATTTGCTGCTGCATAAAAAAGAGGTGTGCTCCCTCTTTCATCTTTTTCATTGATATTTGCACCATTTGAAATGAGAACTTCGGCTGTTTCTTTACTATTGTACATTGCTGCATAAAAAAGAGGTGTCATCCCATAATATTCTTCATTGATTTTTGCACCATGTGATAAGAAATATTCGCAAAGAGATGAAATATTATGCTTCAATGATTGAACAAAGCACATGTTAATATCATTAGTTTGATCGAAATAAACTAAAAATGATTCAAGATTCTTATATTTTACGCAATATTCTAAATCGATCTTTAAATTGTAATTATTCATCAAGAATGTAACAAAATCAATGTTGTGCGAAATAATTGCATATATCATGCATGTTTTATTTGGTTTTTGATATTTCAAACATTCACTCATGATCTCTGGATTTCCGCCTAAAAATGAAAATTATAGACATTTTTGAGTTATTTCTGAGTTAAACTTTGTTCTTAAAAACTTGAAACAATCAACTGCACCGTGGTAACAACATAATTCAAGTAATGAATATCCTTCGTATGAATATGGATATAAATCACTTTTAAGTTTTTGGTCTTTATCAAATCCTTCTCCTTCTGTGGATGAAATGAATCTTTTTATATCGTTATACATAATTGCTCTGTAAATCGTATCTTCTTCATGAATATCAATATTTTCAAATTTAGGGTTTTCGAAATTATCAGATTTGTTTAATTTAATTCCATATTCTTTATAAAATAGGAATTTTAGAACAGTGTGAGCATTGGGGATATCTCTGACTTGATAATCATCATAGATTTGTTTGATAAGAAATAAATATGACTTTATATAGCGATTATTATACGGAATGAACTTTAAAATATCCATAATAATATCATGAGGATGGAATATCATTGAATCAATCAATTCTGTTTTGATCATTTTGTAAATTGAGTTTAATTCTTCTTCTTTTTCCGTTTTCAGCTGATATAATGCATTGCATGAATCTATATAGTATTTGCATATACTTCGCATTTCGAAGAAGTTATTTGGATGGAAGTCTTGAACAGACATTTAAAATTTTTAAGGGTTCCGTCCGACCACTTATCTCCTCTCAATTTTCATCAACTTCATGGCATCTTGTAGCCTCACATGATAGATGTCTTTCATTGCTACCATACACAATACGATAGTAATCATTCATATAAAGATATACATATATGGTAGGTTTATCTCAAAGTCACCATATTATCTTAAAGAGTGCGTTTTTTGCCTCAATTTCTAATTCAGATTCCGAAGATTTACTTGGTAAAATGCCTCTAGTTGCACCTAAAAAATTCGGTTTTTTCGACTCTATGGAAATTATTTAACTCTTCTTCAAAAATCAAATAATTCATAGATATTGAATTTTAGTACTTTAAAATATGCTTTTCTAGTAAATACAAATAAATGTAATGCATCTAAACTTAATGGTGCATATCTGCGTTTATAAAATATCCATTGAATTCATTGGAAATCAAATACTATGTTATGAATGTAGAAAACAATCACCACAAAAGATTTCTGATAATATATTTGAAATTTGATTAAGGTTACAGAGATAAAATGTCGAAAACAACACAATTTTCATACAGAAACATATACGAAAATATAATAGATTAAGTTGAAGCGCGATCTGAACAAATATTCCAACAATTTAGATCTCAATAAATGTGCTGTGAACTCTGAATAGAATTAAAAGAAAAAATAAATCAAATTTCAGATTAATACAGTAATTATTAAGGATAAAAATACATATTTATTAAACATAAAAAACATTTTTACAATAATGAATTCTCGGATACATATTTTGCCTGTTCCTGAGAGTCTTCTGTATAATTTATGCGTTGATCTCTTTCAGAAGCCCTTGCACGAAGATTTTCTTCATGACTAATCCTCTTTCTCGACTGGAAGTGCACTTGCTTCGCTCCGCAATAGAAGAAAAATTCAATAATTGGCTGATAACCAAATAAGTAGAATATTTCGTAGAAAAATCGAACAATACATGACTTACAGAACTTGAACATACACTCGCTACCAGATAAAGCGGCTGTTGTCATACCATTTGTTCGATATGTATGAAAAACAAATTTTTCTGGCAAATCTCCACGTACTTCTGCCAGAGCAACACGAGAAGCTCTTATTAGTTCACTTCTCATATTGTCTTCGTATACATATTCCGCATTACATCTGTAAATAATTTTTCTTCCAGAAACATCTTGTTTTGCTCCTTCTTCCTGCCATGATCCGTAATAAATAGGTTCCATTGATTTCTTAACAGGCATTAATTGGCTGTTGTTATCAAGATCAGTGACGTTGAAAGCAAATGCAACTGGATTTGGCGGAATTGATGCATTTTCTTCATTGATTGTCCTCAAATCCTCTTTGCTAACAACAGGAGCACGTATTTCTCGTAAGAATTTGACTGTGTCACATTGATTTGCAAGTGTAGATTTACTTACACAGCTACAGATGTCTCCGGACTTAGGATCTAGTGGATCAATGGGTTTACTATCACAACAGCATCCACAATACAAATGGTATCGTTGTTTATGGGCTTTTCTGAATGCAAGATTTTGTGGATTATATGGATCATTCCATTCGCAGCATTCTGGACCAAGAACACAGATGCTGCAGCGTGAAAATATATATCCGCATATGTAAGCGGATGAACTGATGGTGAAAAGGACGAGATGAACTCCTCCAAGGTAAATATGCATACAATAGATTCCATAGAAGAAGGAAGATGCAGAAAAGTTAATAACAAAACATGAAATCCATGTACAAGCGGCAATTTTGGTACCTGTAATTAAACTTAAAATTAACATCAAAAGAGTAGGGCAAAGACTAAGTCCAATTACCGTAAAAAGTTTTAATGGTTTGACACATGCTACAACTTCGGCATCATTTAAACAATAAAATATTTCTTCTCCATTATGAAAGTTTGATTTGCATGTACCATTACAAGCATCTTCTCCACAGCAAACTTCTCCTGGCTGCAATGCACTTTCATTACAGACTTCAAGAGAATGCTGAATTAGAAGCAATAAAAACATTTTGTAAAATTTTTTTTGTAAAATCGGATCCTAAAGATTTTAATATTGAAATTTGGAATTTCGGATTAATTTCCTTATATAATTGATTTACTGATTGAAACTCACAATTTTTCTTTGAAACCAGAGACTCAATGTCTTTCTAATTTTGGAGATATTGTGAGAGTAGTAACAATTTTATGTAAATCCAGCATGGAAACAATCATATACACTAATTCGGTCTCCATATTGTTTCTGCTTTATCTCTTTGGGAGATTAAAGGAAATCAAGATATAAAAATTAGCAATGATGAGTGTGTATGATTGCCATCATGCTACATTTACAAAAAGTTGTTACTTCTCCCGCGTTTTCATAATAGAGAGCATGATGGAAAAATTAGCATTGAATTTTGGTATTTTAGCATTAAATACAATTACCAAAATTTGAAACTTTCAATGCTAATAGAAAGCATGATGGAAAAAATAAATTGTGAGATCAAAATTTAGCGTTGAATATTTCCGGCAAACCCAAATTTTAGCTAAAAGTGACAGGAAAAAAAAACGTTTAGTATTAAAAAAAAGACCGATGAGAGCTTCGTTCGAAATATAGAGGGAACTGAGAATGCGCAACCATTCTCAGGGAATATTGGATGCTATTCCCGTTCCCTCTGTATGGAAAATTGAGGTTTTCAAAGGGAGTTAAAATAATATCAAATTTATACTAATTTACTTCAAAATACAAAAGTATTTGACAGCTAAAATTAGTTACTTTAGCAAGCCTATCAATACCCTTTTACGATTATTGCTACTTTTTCGAAATAAAATAAATTTATTATCAAAAACCTTTTTTTTCTTAGTAAAAATAAAAATGTTATTTTATATCAAGTTTTTATTCATAAATTTTTATAATGTTGTATAAATTTCATTAAAATTTACGTACATATTAAGGTACTTATCTTCTACATATATAATCTTCATTAGATATATACATGATAAATAAAATTCATAAAACATTAAAAATCAAAAAATTAGATGAACCTTGGCAATTAAACTTTATTAAATAATAGTTGTTTATAAATTATATTATATTATTATTTAATATTATTTTGATAATGAAGATTTTATTTTGCAATAATATAAACGAAATTTTTTACCTTATGAACTTTTGATGGAAATATGCAAATTTAAAATAATAAAGAAAGCCGCGAGCGAAGCAATCGGCTTAGTTCGAAGATTTTGATTCAAATCTTTGCTGATCTGTAATTCGCGGAAGCCGCGAGCGAATCGAGCGGCTTAGGTCTAAGATTTTGATTCAAATCTTTGCTTATATTCCTTAAATTCTTTATGAAACTCGCAACAGTTCCATAAAAAATTTTAAATTCTAAACTGTCGAAATTACCGATCGGTAATCACACCCTTCATGGGTGTGTCACTTTTTACAGGTGTGTCACTTTTAGCTAAAATTACCCCTACTCGAATTTTTCATTTTTTTCTGGAGGACAATGGAGCGCTTCTCAAGTGAGCAAGAGTTCATTTACTACTGTGCAAAACTTACTTCACAAGATGATGTTTCCCAGAGTGACATAGAAGGATTTCCTCTTCATTCAGATTTTCCTTATTATACATTTCGTTTAATGCTAGATACTATACCATTTGAAGGTGAATTAGCTAAAAAGAAACAAGTAATTACATCTGGGTGCATAAGATTATTACGAAGCGATGTTTGTTATTCTTATCGAAATAATATGGATGAAGAACTCTTGAATCAGACAGTAGAAATTGCCATAGCAGCATTCAATGAAACGTCAATAGATCCACATATGATAGCATATTTCTTATATTTAATCAAAGAAGATACACTTCCTTATTTATTTAAAGAATACTCTAGCCAATACCAAAACCAAGATAGTATATACACATCAAAGCTCTTATGGATTATTACAAATATGATTAGAATCTGTTACAAAGATATTGATTTCGTTACTCAACTAAATTCAATAATTGAAGACATATTAACACGAATTACAAGTCAGCAAATAGAACTTGCTGTCATACAAAAGTCTCTTTCTTCATTTTTTTCAATGTATTCTTCTTATTCACAAAATCTAGATCCAAATCCTCAATTTCATTTACTTGAGATATCTTTGGAATACATGGACCTTTTTGCTCAACCAGATTTGATTTTTACTGAATCTGGAAATTTGATATCTTCAATTTCTTATTTTTTCATGAGATTCGACCATCATTTTGATTCTATTATCAAAGAAAATACCAATATCATACATTCTTTCTTTGAAAAATCAATTTCACTTTTACAAATTTTATTATCAACAGAAAACAACTCAGATGTTCAAAGTTCTTTGATTTATGTACTTGGAGACCTTGTTAAATACCAGACAGATGAAGAAATCCAAGCAATATTACCTCTTTTAATCCTAGGATTAGTTTATTCTGATTTTGCATCAATTTTAAATGATCCAGAACAGTTTTTCAATGTTTTATTCGATTTCAACTCGAGTACTGATATGTACGCAACAGATAATGATTTAAGAACAAACTGTGCAGCATATTTAATTAAACTTTATAATGAAACAGATGATATACAACATATATATGATTTGTTTACTATTGCAAGTGAAAACAACAAAATTTTTGAGTTCATTTATTTGTTTTCTTCATTGATTCAGTATTTAATTGATATTAATGCCAAAATGGAAGATGACGTAGAAGACATTCTTGCTGCTTTAATTAGTTTATCTTCGGAATCTGAATTAAAAAATTGTTTCTTCTTTTTGTTTTATTCTATTCTTCCATTTTTCGGAAATTTGGAAGTTATTCCTGAAATGTACAAACACATTCAAGGTTTAGTAAATGTAGAAGAATCTATTGTTAAATCACAAGTAACATTACTCTTTAGAGCAATTAGGAATTCGATTTATTTAGATCAAAAAGAATTTTTGAACAAAGAAACTTTTGATAATATTTGGGAAGCGAAAGATTTGATTTTAAACAACGAATTTGAACTGACATGTTCCAAATTTATCCTTAAATTGCCTAAAGAACTAACTGTTGACTCCAAGATCTTCGAAAGCGCTCAACAATTAGTTAATGGATTATATGACAGAATTTTCGAAATTTTGAATGAATTAAATGATGAAAATGAAAAAGAATTAGAATATATCATGAATAAAGAAGGAAACAACATCAACTACATTCTCAAATCAATACCACAATGTGCTGTTATTCCTGAAATATTTGAAAAACAACTTATTGTACTCGAAAAGATTCGAGAATATGATTATTCTAGAGATGGATTAGTTTCAGCAGTAAGTCCTTTAGCATTGTATCCAGAAGCATATCCTTTCTACATGCAATACATGTTTAATGTGATTGATAATTTTGGTGATACATACTCATTTTTTATTTATGATATCGGTCGATATTTGTATGTTTTGTTTGATAAGAATCCAGATATTTTGGAAATAATTGATGGAAATGTTTATATTGTTCAAAATTTCCTTGAAAAATTTATTCCTTTAACAAATAATGATGTTTATTCTGTTACTGATATTGATTGTGAATTTATAATGATGATATTTATTAAGTGCTTGTTTGTTGGAAAGGGATTGACACAAGAATCAAAGATATCTTTACTTCAAATGATAAATAGTTTTGATGAAAAATTGAATCAGAAATATTTTGATTTAGTGAAACTGGCTGCTTTTATCCAAAATGAATATGAATTAGATGCAGCAACAATTATGAATGTAATGGAAAATGTTCAAAAAGGAAAATATCCTTACACTTATGAAAGAGCTCTGATTTCTACTGCATTTGATAAGATTAATGACAATCAGTTATGTCAAATTATGAATATATTGATAAAAGCAAATTATTTCGGGGATAAAACCGAAGGATATAAATTCCCTGATTATACTTTAATTCCTGGATTTAGCGATGTAGACTTCTTGGATGATGATTTCATTGAGGAAGACCAGCGAATGATCTTTGAAAAACATAAAGAACTATTATCTCATTTCAAGGAAATGAATGAGTAAAAATGTTTATATTATTGTTTTAAAAGAATTCGAATTACATTTAGTTGTTTTTTTAATCCATTACCGAGGTTAATTAATAATGAAAAAATGCGAATTTTACTTTATTCGCATTTTTGCAATAGGGAAATATCTGGTAATTTAAATAAGGACTCATTGGGAATAGTTTCGACATTTTATTTGCACACTATTAAAAAACTGCGAACTCTTTTATTTTGATTCGGACGATAACGATTATTTAAATTTATCCTTTCAATTAATAATGAAATAATGTATCAATTACAGTTATTCCTTAAAATTTTATTTGTTTGGTCGAATTCAATTTTTGTGAATCTTCAAACAATTTGTGATCCAAATTTTTAGGATAACTCTCATATCGAATGAATCAGTGAAAACCATATTCATCTATAAAATATTGCCTTCTGAAAAGATTCATATCAATTTGATAGAGAGGTTCAAATTTAGGCAAATGGCCTGACCAAATTTAAAATTTTAATGAATATTAGTGAATATCCACTAGCGAGAAATAACTTATCGAATACCCTCAATTAGTTACTCTTTGAAATCATTCAATATCAGTTGTTAACATTCAATAATTGAATGAGAAATAATTGTCAAATGATCTCATTTCATTATGAATTTTGGCTCAGACAACATCTCAGGTATTCATCCAAAGATCCTTGAAGCCATTGTAGAGGGAAATAAAGGCACAGATAACTCATATGGAGGCGATGCTTCAACAGCAGCTTTAAAAGAGAAATTAAAAGAAGTTTTTGAACATGATCTTGTCTATTATTTCGCATCAACTGGAACAGCAGCCAATTGCTTAGCATTATCAGCTTTGTGCCCTCCTTATGGAACAATTCTTTGTTCAGATTCAGCTCATATTCTTACAGATGAATGCACAGCTCCATATTTCTTTACTGGTGGCGCACGCCTTATGCATAGATCAAAATCTCCTTCCAAGTTTGATCCGAAACTCATATCAGAAACCATCAATTTCTCAAATTATTTACGTCCTCATGCAGGAAAACCAGTAGTTGTTTCAATTGCGCAGACAACAGAACTTGGCCAAGTATACACACTTGAAGAAATCAAAGAGATATGCGATGAGGCACACAAGTACGGTCTCAAAGTCCATATGGATGGCGCAAGATTTGCTAATGCATTAGTAAACCTCAACTGCACACCAGCCGAAATGTCATGGAAAGCTGGTGTAGATGTTCTTACATTTGGTGCCACAAAGAATGGCGGACTTCATGGTGAATTAATTATTTTCTTCAACCCAAGTGATGCTGAGAACTTCGATTTCATCCATAAACGTTCTGGCCAACTTATGTCTAAGACAAGATTCTTTGCCATGCAAATGCTTGCATATTTGAAGGATGATCTTTGGCTAGAACTTGCAAGACATTCAAATGCAATGGCTAAGCGTTTAGCTGATGGTGTCAAGGATGTTCCATGCATTAAACCATGGTTACCTCTCAAGACAAATGAATTCTTCATTGTTCTTCCAAAAGAATTGGCTGAGAAATTGTACAAGGCAGGCGCTCACTTCTATGAATGGGAGGGTAATCTCTCATTATATCGCTGGGTCACATCTTGGCAGACAACAGAAAAAGAAGTTGATGACTTTGTTGCTCTCATCAAAAGTTTGCTTTAAATAAATCTATAAATTGTAATTATTGATGCATTTCATTAGTTTTTAATAATTCATTATCATAAAGATTGAAAGTTATTTCTTTAGAGAGAAATTGTGTTGATCAAAGTTATCTGATAATTTTGAGTAAATAATATATGATCAAAGCTAATAAATAGGAGAATGCTGATAAAGTGAGCCTGTAAATAATGATGATTTTTATAGATTTTTCAAAATAAAGAGTTCGATTCCATAAAATAAAGGTACCACGGATATAAATGTAATAACGAAAGCCTTGGAATTCATAATGTATTATAAGCATATGTATATACTGTTATTCGTGAAGTTTTAGGCCATTCGTATGAAGGGATTATGAAATTTTTATTAAAATTCATGTAAAATGCAACTTTATGATACAGATATTGGTACCTTGCATTCTCTAATATAAAGAAGTCAATTCTTTGGCAAATTTGTCAAAAATGTTGAATTTGACTCTATCTTCATTACATATTCATCACCTTGATAAATCTCCATTATTTGTGGGCAACAATATCAAAGCAAACAATCTGCGAGCGAAATATATAGTTTCTCCAATTTTTTATAACCAAAGAAATTTATTAATCTCAAAAGCAGTATTTTCAAACAGTCTTTCACCAGCAATCTACTCAATACTCACTTTCGGAAATAAAACATTCTATCCAATTAATTATACAACGAAATATCCAAATCAAATTACAATTACGAGAGGTTCCTTCAGTAATTTTACAAGTACAGCAGTCATAGCAGATTCAAATTCACATCCAGATTCAAATATTCTATTTTCTAAATGCTTTTTCGTTGGATGCAGGTCCAATTTTTCAGGTGGATGCATCTTTCTTAGATTTGGCACAGCAAACATCTCAACAACATGCTGCGACTCATGCTCTTCCAATGATCGTGGTCATTTCCTTTATGCCGAAGATACCCACATTCCTGTCTTTTACTGCACATCTATTTACAGATCACCAGACGAATCACCACATCCATCAACTATATACGCTATTCAAAGAAACCAAATGATAGAAAAAGACTCTCATACGGTAAATTATTTAAATTCAACAAATGGACATGTTTACCAATATAATTCAGTGATGTACGTCTATAATACAATATTCCATATCAATTACATGCAAGCAGTTAACAATTCTGGCAATACAATTGCATTTTTCGATCAAATCCGCCAAAGCGTCATTCAATATGCTGTTTTCGCATACAACACAAATCATGAAACCAGTGTCATCAAATTACGCCATCTTTCACGTGTTCGGCTCGCTCCAAATTTAATATTATACAAAAATGGTCCAAAATCATTCGATATCGACTTAACAGAATCTCTATCTGATATATTTATTTCTGGAAAGGTTGATGAACCAGCAGAAACAGAGAGCGACGTGAAAATCAACTCAAAATTCAAACTCTTTTCAAAAACGAACATTTCGACACTGGAATTCGATATAACTCTTGACATGGATTGCATCATCACTCCTCGTTACAAATTTTCAAATAATATCAAAATTTCAATTGGTTTAATTTCGACGATAAACATTGTAGTTTTAGTTGTTTGTGTGTTCTTTATATTAAAGGATGTGAAAAATTGGATAAAAATGAATAACGAAGAAGGATCTTCAATTCCTGCTATGAAACCATAATATTTGACATCATGGGCTTGTGTTTGTACATTCTATCCTTTTAATTTGTTATTTTTGTTATTCTTTTTAGAATAATTTTTCTATTTTTTTCATCTTTTGAATAAATTTAACATTTAGTTGTTGTTTTTTAACTAGTATCATATACATACAAAATATCTCTTTTGTTTATTTCTGTTGTTGATATTCTTCAATTAAATCATCTTTGGAATTGATTTCTGCATCATGCCAAATCAAATATAAGATAAGAAAAGGAAAATAGAAATATATTGATCTTCAAAAAGAAATTACACTTGCTATATTTATTACTTTAGGCTCAATGTGAATGCATTTTTATAATAGGAAAATTTAGGCATCTCAATCTTCCCATACGAAGAAATTAAGAGAAAAGTGTCTATAGTACTATGTACCAACATAGACCGATGCGTATACAGAATATATTTATATTGAATGAATGCAATGATATATCCTTGAAAAATGGCTTTTTAGAATCCACAAAATTTGTTCTCATAGATCCATGATCATTAACAGAAATGATTCATGTTTATGATGTTGATGACAACATATACCAAATAAGCTTAATTTATTGGTTTAGCAGTGAAGCTAATGACCATATTGAATTATTAATCAGTGCTTCATGCTTACTAACTAACAAAATACTCAAGCATTCTATATGGAAATGATTTCAATGTTACCAAGCTCCTAAACAGTTATTTTCAAATTTGAATATTCATTCAATCATGATCAAACTCGAAATTTCTGATGTTTTCATTAAAAACATAACAATGTAAATATAATGCTAAAATTTTGGTCACAGGAACTTTTTACAAACATAAAAATCATAAAAATAAACAAAAAATTATAAATGAGTTCTTTTATTCGAGTTATTGCTAGATTTCAAGAAGCTCAACGACTTGGAAAGGATACTACACAGCTAATGCAAACATTAGCAGTATTTCTTAATGATTTTGTTATCGTTCCAGAGTTTTATTATCTTCCAATTGATATTTCATCACAATTGATTCTTGAACATAAAGGAAAATTCGCAAAGGATGTTGCAATATACATTATTGAAAACTTTGCACGTGTTTACAAACGAAATTGCTCATCTTCAGTCGAAGAAATGAATCAAGAAAACAAACAATTCTCTGGATTAGATATTTGCATGCAGATCAAGAAAATCCTTACATGGCCTGAAGAGAATCCAGTAATTTCAGTGAAACCTCCTTTAGAATCAACAAATGAAAATAAATATCATATTCAAATGATAGAAGCAAGCTATAACCAAAAGCTAGATGTACTAAGAAATGAATATGAAGAAGAAATGTTTAGATTAAATGCAGTTAAATGGGATATTAAAAACGAAATCGATTCTACAGACTACAAATGCTTTGTTCAGCAAAGAGATGCAGAAAAAGAGATAAACAAGCTCTTAGAACAACACAACGCAAAATTAAAGGAAATTCATGAGAAAGAAACAGAAATTTTGAATAAAATTAAATATCTCGAGAACCGTATCAATAATCCAATTACCGAAGAGCAACAACAGCAGATTCTTAATGAATTAAACGCTGATCATAAGAAACAAGTCGAACAAATTACAAATCATCTGAAAGAAGAGATTGATTACATCAAAGAACAGTGGAGAAAGAACGATCCAAAGAGAAATACACCAGAGTGGCAGAGAGAAGAGGCTCGAAAGAAGAAAGAAGAATATGATGCAAAGAAAGAAGCTCTAAAGAAGGCCAAAGAAGCGGAAAAGGCAAAGAAACTTCTTGAGAAGCAGAAACAAGAAGCGTTCGAGAGATCTCTCGTTGAAGTTCCTCAAATTATTTACGATAATTTTGAATTTCCTGAGAAAATCATCAAAGTTCAACCAATTCATAAACCTAAGGAACCATCAATACCAAGGAATCCAAAGAATATCTTTGATTGCATTCTTGCAAACGATATTGAAAAAGCAAAGAGTCTTATTCAACGAAAGCCCGCTATTGTTAATGAATATGGCGATGCTCGTACATTACCACTCCAACAAGCCACAAAATACGATAGACCAGAGATAATCAAATTATTATTAGACAACGGAGCTGATATCAATGCTAAAGATGGTCTTGGAAGGACAGCACTCCATTATGCAATTATCAATGAAAGCACTTCTCTTGTAGATCTTCTCAAAACCAAAAATCCAAGAAATGATATTCCGGATAGAGAGGGTAAAAAGGCAATTGATTTACTTATGGACCGCAGGGACAGCAAGACAGCGCTAAAAGTAGCCATTAAAGAGGATAACAGGCGCGCAATGGCTGATATCTTCAAGAGATGGCCAGATATGGTCAATATGAAGCTTTCTGATGGAACTCAGTTGATTCATACTGCAGCATCTAAGGGATATCCTTATTCAATTGAACTTCTTTTGCAGTGGGGAGCTGATATCGAAGCAAAAGACGACTTTAACTGCACTCCATTCCATTACGCATGCAAGACTCATCAAGATGATGCCATCCAGTTCCTTTTGGACCATGGAGCTGATTATCATGCTTTAGATAACAATAAGAAGTTGCCTTTTGATTACTACCAACAATAAACAAAAATAAATTGTAATATAAACATATTATTGTTGTTATAAATTCTTTTTTATTAATTTTTCTTAAACTTTAATAATCTTCGTAATATTATTGTTGTTATTAATTAATTTATAAAGCATTTGGTTATGTTATTGCATCCAAATTAATTAGATTAGGAAATATCCCTATAGGAACCCACCCCAAGAAGGAAACAAACACTAGTCATCTTAATTATTATTAATTGTGAAATTACAATGTCAAAGCTATATACAAACTTTTCTATAGTGGGAATATAAATTCCAGGAGTTACAAAATGATTTCGATTAAATTTCTTGGTAATTACTTCATTATTGAAGGTGAAACTTAATCAAATAAGTATAACACTCATCATTATTGTTCACTATCTTATTTGAAATGCTTCATCTACAAATCAATTCATCTGAAAAGTGATTTCGAAAAGAACATATCAATAAAACACACAAGCGACTTTATTAAACTGATCAATTCATCTTGATACATTCAAATTTATGACTTTTCACATTAAAAATTATTTTGAATATCTATACGTTAAAGAAATCACAAAATCATATAAAAATCTTTTATGGAGCTAAACTGGGATAATTTAGAGTCACATACAGTTCCTATTCTCAGGCAAGCATGCAAACATCGCGGTATTTCCATTACATCATCAATGAGAAAGGCAAACATTATTTCTTGCTTGCAAGATTACAAGAATGAAAAGATGTCGATGAAAAATAATAGAGAAAATGTCAGTATGAATATCATTCAAGATTCATCGACCGTCAAACAGATGCTCTTAACTCCAATATCACTCCCGAGAGGAGGTTCTTTTAAGAAGCCGAAGACCAAATTACCATTTTTGCAACCTAATGATCCAGAAAATGAGGAAAAACATATTTCATTAGTTCAAAGATCTCCAATTCCAGCAGGGAAGAATACAATACAAAACATTCAAACTCCTCCTAAAATACCTATCGACCAGCAAGTTACGCCAATTATACTTCCGCAAAAGAAAGTGACTTTCAACACTCGTACATCACCAAGTGTTGCATCACTTAAAGCACCACTTGCTTTTAGCAATAGAAGGAAAAATTCTAAGAAAAAATATACCATGCTACTCGTACTCTCTATTGTGGCACTAATTCTCTTACTAAGTTTCCACTCATTCCTCAATTGATTTTTCTTTTTTTGTTTGGTTTATCTTTATATATTATAAATAGCCTCAATTTACCTGCTAAATATAAATTTCCTATTTCTAACAAGAATTTGGTTACTATATCAGAATTTGAATCAAACCTTAACTTGAATGACGTAATTTTTGCATTAAGGAAGCAAACACATATGTTGGAACATTTATCTAATCCAAACCATTTGTAATAAATAAAATTAAAAATTAAACTCTATTTTTATACATATAACAAAACAAAATAAACTTATCTTAAGTATGGGTACTCTGTACTGTTAGTTGGGAACTTTCCATGCTCTGCAGCATACATTCCAATCTTAATTGCGCGTAAAGCATCTTCAACATGCAAATAAATAGGAAGATATGTATAATGGTTATATCCTCTTGTTGAAAATGTAAAATACATGACTTCATTTACCAAAGCTATTGATTGCATGTTAAAATCGTTGAAATCGAGCTGACAAGAAACAACAACAGTCTTTGGATGCATGAAAAATGTTCTAATGAGGTTTGAACCCGTAATTCCAAATAAGAATTTAATTGATGCGTAAGAAACTGCAGAAGAACGAATATCTGGGTACAAATCACGTAAATCACCCCATAGAATATCAGGGTATAGCACTGAAAGCATAGTTTTAATTCCATCAAGATTTGAAATTCTTCTTTTTTGATTTTTATCACGATTCATTAAAACATAGCGCGTTGGCTTTATATCATACACTCCAAATGCTTGTTTCAAGTAAATTGAAAGGTTTCTGTATGCAGTTCCTGGATGTCTGAAATAAGAAGGAGGATAAAGCGTTGTATGAAGATTCTTTGCTAAAATCCATTCTCCTTCTTTGAGGTAAAGTATTTGTGATACTGTAAAGTTTAAACTGAGTAATAATTCCGTACAATATGGATTATTTCCTTTTACAACGATTTTTGAATATTTCCAAATGTCGCGAGGTATACACATAAGTGGTGCTAGAACATCTATAAAGAAATGCCCGTATTCATCTGCATGTCTATCTCCAATTGCAATCACATTTTCATAAGTTCCTACGAGAGTATGCTGATATTGTTTTAAGTCATATCTGTATGCCCAGTAATCTTCCATAATGTATATGTATTTTCCATCACATATCAAAGACCAAGAATTTACATACTTATTTTGAAGAACTGCATATGTGGTAGATAGTTTTTGAGCGTAATTAATGACTTTATCATGGGTGTTATATGAAACTACACCGGAATCATCGTAAGATTTTCTTGATAATTCATCAATAATAAGATTATTTGGGTCAATATGATAATATTCGAGGATTTTTTGTGATTTTATCAAATAACTTGAAGGTAAATGCCTGCTTATTTTGATTGTAGTGTTAAAAATTGGAATATAACATTGAGAATCCAAATATTTGAGGTATTTTGGAATATAAATGATCAGAGATGCAACAACTGATATTGCTATCAGAAAAATTACGGCTATCATGCGTTTCTGCCGAGAGCACAAGAACATCAGACGCTCTCGAAGAACATTCATGATAAATAAGTAACAAATTAAAAGAGATAGTTGAAGTTCAAACCATAATGCCACTAAGTATAGGCTGAATTCAATATAAAAAGCAAAAAAATCTTATCAAAAAATCAATAATTAAATTTTTTCTATAAAAATACTAACAATTTATTAATATATGAATCATATATAAATATACAAGTATTCAATTGACGTTACTAAGGTTTTCTGGTATTGATTTAGCTCTAATCATCGCACTTTCACCTGATGAAGGGTAGAAAGTAACTAATGTAACAAATGGCTTCGGGAATATAAAGTCGAACATGAAAAACATGTTTCCATGATGAGTTAGGATGTCGAATAGGGATAAACCTGCAGATATGATAGCAAAAGGAAGATTAAGCGAATACAGTGGTATTATATATTTCTCTGGTAATATCCAGTTAGGCTGAGATAAAGCTAATTGAAGAAATGAAAACAAAGCTAATCTTTTGATCCGATGGAATGGATATAACATAATAAAATGTATCTTTCTATTGATGATAATATTTCTTTTGGCTCCAAATAGTAAAGAATCGAGATAATCAATGAAACATGGAGCACTAAAGCACAATATGATGCTAAAAATCACTTTTGTGTAATCCTGTTGGAAGTATGTGATCAAGTTATACATCGTATTGTTTAAAAGCATTGAATTTCCGAAAAATGATAAAATTTGTACTAAAGTTATTACAAGTTGCAATCTGATAATGGAAAATACAAGGTCAAACGGAATTAAGTTAAGAGAAATCCATACATACGTATATTTAAAAATCACTGAATAATCTTGAAGTTCTGGCAATGTAGAGTGAACAATTCTTCCGTAAAAGAACCTAGGACTGTACACTAGGAAAAATCCAAGAATATAGCTTCTGCATGGATGTAATCCTCCAATAGGAGCTACCATTCGAATATAATAGCAAACATAAAGCGCATGAATAATAAAGTAGAATTGGAAGAAGTTTGAATTGAAAAAGTATTTGATTATTACTGATGGAGAAAGTATCTGAACCACTGAATATAAATTAACAATCATTTTATTAATTTTTGACATGTAAACCAAACAAAATTTGCAATGGATCTCAAAACAGAATCTTGCATTTCAGTTTTGTTTCTATAATCAACACTTGATTCTATATATTTTTCATTGAAATTTTGTTCATTTGCCTCATGAAATATCAAGGGTTGAAAGTTACAAGCTCTCAATTTTCGTCCCTTTTGTACGTTTATTATAATTGTAGCATATTGTCATCAAGCACGCGACTAACCAGCAAAGACGTGTCCTCTAATTCCGTCCCTAGTTCAAGAATCTGGAACTATTTAAGCAAAAACATTCGATTTCAAAATCAAGCATTCTTTATTCAACGAGTAAAACATTAAAGTATGATTTGTCATACACGGAATAATGACAAGCTCTTAGAGTATGTTTAGTACAGAGTTACTGCCAACTTGAGTTCTTGAATTTGGTAAGTTAGAACAAAAGAAGCCATATGTCGCATCTAAGGACTTGTACTTATCAGAGTATTACTAAATGTTTAAGAATGTTAGTTATTCGTCCCAAACTCGTACGTTTCCACGCGAATCTTGATAATAAATATACTATTTTGGACTTTTTGCAATAAATCTCTTTTTACCACGTTAGCATATCTGTGTGTATGCTACCTAACCTCTTTAGAGACCATTAAGATAATGTTTTTTGATACTTTTTCAAGACTATGCCATAAAGTAGGGATGCGACGGTTTTACGCCATGACCGTTTAAAAATAGAATAATACGCCATTTTTGGGGCCAAATGGCGGGTACGAAGTAGCCGCCATTCGGCCGAATAACAAAACAATACAAAATTATCGCCGTCCTTTTTTTTCTTTCTTTCTTTCTCTTTTTTTTTTTTCTCTCTCTCTCTCTCTCTCTTTCTTTTCTCTTTCCTCTTTTTACTCCTCTTTCTCTTTTCATCATTAAACGTAGAAAGATATATTAATATTATTTTAAAATTAAAAAAAAATAAAGAAAGTATAATAAGTAATTATTTAGTTATCGATATATATATGTAAAGTGATAATCTGAGGATAATCTGAGGAGGAGTCTGAGGATTAGACCGAGGAGTAGTTTGAGGAGTTTGATGATAATCTGAGGAGTTTGAGGAGTAGTCTGAGGAGTTTGAGGATAATCTGAGGAGGAGTCTGAGGATAATCTGAGGAGTTTGAGGATAATCTGAGGAGGAGTCTGAGGATTAGACCGAGGAGTAGTCTGAGGAGTTTGAGGATAATCTGAGGAGGAGTCTGAGGATAATCTGAGGAGTTTGAGGATAATCTGAGGAGGAGTCTGAGGATTAGACCGAGGAGTAGTCTGAGGAGTTTGAGGATAATCTGAGGGGGGGTCTGAGGATAATCTGAGGGGGAGTCTGAGGATAATCTGAGGAGGAGTTTGAGGATAATCTGAGGAGGAGTTTGAGGATAATCTGAGGAGGAGTTTGAGGATAATCTGAGGAGGAGTCTGAGGATAATCTGAGGAGGAGTTTGAGGATAATCTGAGGAGGAGTCTGAGGATAATCTGAGGAGGAGTCTGAGGATTAGACCGAGGAGTAGTCTGAGGAGTTTGAGGAGTAGTCTGAGGATAATCTGAGGAGTTTGAGGATAATCTGAGCATAATCTGAGGAGGAGTTTGAGGATAATCTGAGGATGAGTCTGAGGATTAGACTGAGGAGTAGTTTGAGGATAATCTGAGGAGGAGTCTGCGGATAATCTGAGGAGTAGTTTCAGGAGTAGTCTGAGGACCAGTCTCAGGACTAGTCTGATGAGGAGGACTCTAAGGAGTAGTCTGAAGAGTAGTCTCAGGAGGAAGATCTGAGGAGTAGTCTGATGAGGAGGGGTCTAAGGAGTAGTCTGAGGATGATGAGTAATCTGATAAGGAGTAGTCTGAGGATGATCTGAGGATAACCTGATGACTAGTCTAGGAGTGGTCTAATAAAAATGTAAAATATTTTCAAAGAAAAAATTCTATGAATTTTATATTTTAATTCTTAGCATTATACTGAATAAAATAAACATAAATATCAAAATTTGAAATTGAACACGCCAAAAAATTGATAATCCACATTCAATATTTTGTAAGTGGCGTACATTTTGAATACTCGCCATATGCCTTGGAGTTCTCAATTTTGAATTCGCCTTTATTTGGGCGACCTCAGAAAAATACGCCATTAAGAAAATATTGTATGAGATTTTAAATTTGAACACGCTCTACCTTAAGGAATTAAATTTATTAAGATATATTTATATATAATAAACGATTACTTAAAAAAAGTATTTCATCGCTTATGTAAGTTTCAAAAAAATCACGAAAATAAAAAAATCAAGATTAAAATTTTATTTTTAATTTTTGAATTTCTCAAATGGCGAAATTTTTGGGCGAACAAAAAAATGTACGCCCGGTCAAATGGCGTGTTTAACGCATCCCTAGCCATAAAGTAAACGAATAATTTACAAAATGATATTAAAACAATTTAATTTTATTATGCTTTTATAAATATTGAGACTTTTTAGGACTATTTTAAAAATGTAAATAGATCAATCATTTTAATATTAGATAAGATAATCTAAAGACGTCAGATGTTTCAATAACTTCAGATCAATGACTAATATGAAATTTAAGATTTGTGTTAATTTAAGAATTAACAATGGAATCTGGTTTAGAAAGATGGAAAGTATAGAGAATCTAAAGGATAAGAGAGATTAAATACAAAATGCTGCATAAAAAGGCAGATCAGTGAGAAGAAATCATGAGGTTAAAAAGGAACATTCAAATTAGAATATAACATTGCATATTACAGTATTAATATTAAAGATAATACTGCACATCATTGTGCAGTGATCCATAAATCAATATTAATATCTCATATGATAAAATCTAATATCATATTACAATATTAATATTAAAGATAATACTGCACATCATTGTGCAATTACACTATTTTAAATATTTTCATAAATAATGACTTACAAGTTAAAAAATGTAGAATTAACTGCATGATCCAATATTGGACCGAATGTATGTTTGAATCTATAACTGAATTCATTAATGACAAAAAAGTGACTCTATAACTGAGTATCTGGCTGACAATATGCCTGAAAGTTTGAATGTGTCTAGGAATATAACTGACAGTTTGAGTGACATTTTGAATGAGGGTTTGGTTGTCAGTATAACTCAAGGTTTGAGAGAGAATATGACTCACAGTTTGACTGACAATATGACTTAGAGTTTGAGTGACAGTATGAACAACAGTTTGGGTGATAGTATGAACTACAGTATGACTGAGAATATGACTGACGGTTTGACAGACACTTTGACTTACGGTTTTAGTTAGAATAAGACTGACAGTTTGAGTGACAATATAACTGACGGTTTGACTGACAATATGACTGTTGATTTGAGTGAGTGTATGATTGAGAGTTTGGGTGACAATATGACTCATAGTTTAAGAGAGTGTATGACTGATGGTTTTAGTGAGAATAAGACTGACAGTTTGGGTGACAATATGACTGTTGATTTGAGTGAGTGTATGACTGACAATTTGAGTGACAATATGACTTCGGTTTGACAGACACTATGAATTAGCTTTTTAGTTAGAATAAGACTGACAGTTTGAGTGACAATATGACTGACAGTTTGACACACACTATGACTTACGGTTTTATTTAGAATATGACTGAGAGTTTGGGTGACAATATGACTCATAGTTTAAGAGAGTGTATGACTAACAGTTTGAGTGACAATATAACTGACGGTTTGACTGACAATATGACTGTTGATTTGAGTGAGTGTATGATTGAGAGTTTGGGTGACAATATGACTCATAGTTTAAGAGAGTGTATGACTGATGGTTTTAGTGAGAATAAGACTGACAGTTTGGGTGACAATATGACTGTTGATTTGAGTGAGTGTATGACTGACAATTTGAGTGACAATATGACTTCGGTTTGACAGACACTATGAATTAGCTTTTTAGTTAGAATAAGACTGACAGTTTGAGTGACAATATGACTGACAGTTTGACACACACTATGACTTACGGTTTTATTTAGAATATGACTGAGAGTTTGGGTGACAATATGACTCATAGTTTAAGAGAGTGTATGACTAACAGTTTGAGTGACAATATAACTGACGGTTTGACTGACAATATGACTGTTGATTTGAGTGAGTGTATGATTGAGAGTTTGGGTGACAATATGACTCATAGTTTAAGAGAGTGTATGACTGATGGTTTTAGTGAGAATAAGACTGACAGTTTGGGTGACAATATGACTGTTGATTTGAGTGAGTGTATGACTGACAATTTGAGTGACAATATGACTTCGGTTTGACAGACACTATGAATTAGCTTTTTAGTTAGAATAAGACTGACAGTTTGAGTGACAATATGACTGACAGTTTGACACACACTATGACTTACGGTTTTATTTAGAATATGACTGAGAGTTTGGGTGACAATATGACTCATAGTTTAAGAGAGTGTATGACTAACAGTTTGAGTGACAATATAACTGACGGTTTGACTGACAATATGACTGTTGATTTGAGTGAGTGTATGATTGAGAGTTTGGGTGACAATATGACTCATAGTTTAAGAGAGTGTATGACTGATGATTTTAGTGAGAATAAGACTGATAGTTTGACTGACAATAAGACTGACGGTTTGACTTACTATATGACTGACGGTTTGACTGACAATATGACTGAGAGTGTGAGCGACAATATGACTGTTGATTTGAGTGAGTGTATGACTGACAATTTGAGTGACAATATGACTTCGGTTTGACAGACACTATGAATTAGCTTTTTAGTTAGGATAAGACTGATAGTTTGACTGACAATATGACTGTTGATTTGAGTGAGTGTATGACTGACTGTTTTAATGACAATATGACTGACGGTTTGAGTGACAATATGAATTACGGTTTTAGTGAGAATAAGACTGATAGTTTGGATGACAATATGACTGTTGATTTGAGTGAGTGTATGACTGAAAGTTTGACTGACAATATGACTGACGGTTTGACAGACACTATGAATTAGCTTTTTAGTTAGAATAAGACTGACGGTTTGACCGACAATATGACTGACGGTTTGACAGCCTCTATGACTTACGGTTTTATTTAGAATATGACTGAGAGTGTGGGTGACAATATGACTGTTGATTTGAGTGAGTGTATGACTGACAATTTGAGTGACAATATGACTGACGGTTTGACAGACACTATGAATTAGCTTTTTAGTTAGAATATGACTGACGGTTTGACACACACTATGACTTACGGTTTTATTTAGAATATAACTGAGAGTTTGGGTGACAATATGACTGTTGATTTGAGTGAGTGTATGACTGACAATTTGAGTGACAATATGACTTCGGTTTGACACACACTATGAATTAGCTTTTTAGTTAGAATAAGACTGACAGTTTGAGTGACAATATGACTGTTGATTTGAGTGAGTGTATGATTGAGAGTTTGGGTGACAATATGACTCATAGTTTAAGAGAGTGTATGACTGATGGTTTTAGTGAGAATAAGACTGATAGTTTGACTGACAATATGACTGACGGTTTGACAGACACTATGAATTAGCTTTTTAGTTAGAATAAGACTGACGGTTTGAGTGACAATATGACTGACAGTTTGACACACACTATGACTTACGGTTTTATTTAGAATATGACTGAGAGTTTGGGTGACAATATGACTCATAGTTTAAGAGAGTGTATGACTGACAGTTTGAGTGAGAATAAGACTGATAGTTTGAGTGACAACATGACTGACGTTTTGACTGACAATATGAGTGACGGCTTTAGTTAGAATATGACTTAGAGTTTAGCTGATAATTGGCTGACAGTTTGAGTGACAATATGACTGAGAGTTTGACTGACAATATGACTGACGGTTTGAGTGAGTGTATGAATGAGAATATAACTGACGTTTTGACTAACAATATGACTGACGGTTTGACATCGAAATTCATTCATATATATGTATTGATCAATGCAATCACCCTATTTAATATTATTATTTATCAATTAATTTTTCATTACTACATGCTCTCAATTATTATGACATTAATATTTATCAAAAAAAAAAAAGTAGTGGGGCCTCCAGGCACTTCGTGCCCTCTAGCCCTGAAGATGTTTAGTATAACTTTGTCCGGACAAGTAAGGGTCTATCGTCGCTACAGGAAAAGTTACGGGCGTTCCAAGGAAGTATACTTTGAGAAGCCTTTCCCCCTTATAGAATGAGATAGGACGGTTATTTTACAAAACTGACAACACGTTGACCGAGTAGTTTTTTGTGCTGAACAAAAAGTGTCATATAAACATCTGTCAAAAACCGTTTTTTACTTCACTTAAAATGCCACGTAAGCTACGTAAGAATATACGTAAGAGGAAGGGAGCATTGAAACATCCAATAGTAAAACTGACACCACAACAACAGTTGCAACAACAAATGATGAATGACCCCACTATGCTGCAACAAATGTCAAGCAACCCTATGCTTTTAAACCGAGTTATTGGTGCACAGAGTGGAGGTTTAAGAGCGGCACTTTTAGCGAAAATGGCAGGCTATGGTGGAGCTGCAGACGGAACAGCCTATAAC